AAAAGAATACAAAATTAACTCTACCTTTCCAGTGTTTAAGTAGTAGCCGTTTAACGTTGAAGAGTCGCACAACATAATAAAGCTGGAGTGGATCTTCCAGAGTATATCCCGCGAATCTGATTTACATCTCAATCAAAATGCCGATAAAATGGAACCTAATGTTATGATTAAAGAAACCGAACCTCAAGCCCTCACAAAATCCCTTGAAACTGCTGCTCTCCGAACTCGTATATATTTCTGGCCCATGACCCATGTTAGATCTCTGTAATAACATCATCATAAGCTGAGATATATATGTGCCTATGAGGGATACAAACGAAATTCACAATCGACGTTTTAAAAGTCTCTTCTCCTACATTATCTTCAGAGTACTGAAATTCCCTAAGTAGCAATTCCTGGACAAAATCATAGAGATGGCTTGAATGTAAAACTCAACAAATATTAAGAGCACAATACGTACGTGTTTTTGTATAGCAAATTTAAATAATTTGGTCATGCTGTTGGCATATTCTCATTTTCAGTTCCAACACTAGATATTTGTCGAAGCCTCACATGTGGGCAGCATTAAGCATACACCAAAGAAGAATAACGTACACAGAACTGCCTCTACCCAAACTCTGGCCTAATGCACTTAGCAATGTTTACTTCAACACTGTAAAATAATCCCCTACACTTATATGCTCAGAATTTGTATGGTTTATTAACTATTGACTTGTGCAATCACAAAGATAACCCCTTAAGTTATAACTTATAACAAGAACAAATCTAACTAAATCAAAACGATGTCCCATTTAAATACAGGATAAGACTTTCCCAAGGTCGACAATCGCTTAGATTTCAGATATCACGAGAAGAATAGCAGTACAGAGTAAAATGACTACAGCAAGCACATTCCCTATGTCATGAACTCACAACAGTTTACCTAACAGCTTCTATGGTCTTTCAGCTTACAAACTTGAAACTATATATGCATTTCGCGTATCAAACTTCTGTGATACAAGGGAAATAATGAACCCGTAAAAATTAACAAGACAATATCTGTTTCTTTTATGATACTATGAGAAAACTAAAGTGAGATAAGGAGATGTTGAAAGTTCCTACACAAGTTCCATCTATTTGAAACAGATACTTGCAAAACAAAAAAAAAAAAAAAACAATCAGGTCCAGCACCAACAAAAGTACCAATTAAGCTTCACTTTACGGAATCTGGTAAACACACAGTTTCAGCTCAAAGGATTACCTCTACTAGATTGCCTATTCGCAATATCATAGCCCACCACAAAATCCTCAGAGTCTTTCCCACCAACATCCTCCGAGCCCCCGACAAGACCATAACGAAACGAGCCAGAATTATCAAGCTCGGCAGACGCGTTCTGCCATGTGGTGTC